GAGGATAATGAAGGGATGGGAAACAGGAGGGAAACACAGCTGGAAGTAATCAGACAAAATCAGGGAGGAAGCAAAACTGAAGACAGTTGTGAAACCCAGGATGTGAGACCGTGAAAGAAAAACAGGAAACAAGACATGACAGCCTACATATGAAATGTGGACACAGCGGAGGCAAGGAAACAGAACCATGAAGCAAACGACATCAAAGAATTCTAACTGAACCCATAATTTACAGACCCAGAGCAATGACACTATCTACTGTTAGTCTTTAACCTCCTAAGACCCGAACTCTTCCACAGCATGCATTTTTAATTTCTCTTTGATATTTGGGCTGATTGGGGCCCAATGAATGTTTTTACCTTATTTTTGTTTTTATGAAAAATCAGAGCCACATATGAGGATATTCGTTTAAAATTTTGATAGAACAGAGGCAGTATAATGTCCTCGTAAGTGGATATCAGCAAAATTGAGTATTTTGGTCTAAACAACCCAAAATGTGATGTCTACATATGTGGACGCAGGTCCTAGGAGGTTAAAGTTTAGATAGTCTCTATCTGAGACACGGGGTGTGACGTACTCAACATGTGTAGATGCCATAGGATTGTTTATACATTTTAAGTTACTCTTTTCAATTAAATATGGGGTTGAATGTATTTGCAAATCATTGCATTCTAGTATTAGTTCATTTTACACACAGTTTTTGAAGCAGTCGTGGTCCTACAGTGGATTCATTAGCTCATCTCCACTGTGGAGAATAGTTAGGAATTAAAAGTATAAATGGATTAAATGACATATCTAAACACATACTTCTGTTTTTTGTAATAAAAAGTGACCAAAATGACTCAAAAATGATAACAGCTCCTCTGTGAGAGAACAAGGAACACGATCTTTTTTTACTGTCACCTTTTAGGGCTTCTGGAAATTAGAGGTTAAGATGAGTTTATTCTGACAATTAAAATAATGCACTGTCACTGTAAACACACTAAGACAAACAACTGTACATACCAATGTTTTGGACAGGGCGTAACATAGTATAAGACACCACTTTATACTCATCTAAATGTGCAAAGTGTATCATTTTTGAGTCAAAACAGTTTCATGTTAAACACAAGAGCAAAAAGAAAGAAACGAGCAGCTTATGACATTTAGTTCTCTATCCCTCATAAATGTTTAACAAACCTCCAAACTACAAATAACCAGTAAATCAGGAGGGGCGAGGCTAATGCTGCACTCCCCGGTTACCCTGAAATACTAATCCCATCTGAATGGGCCTTTCTTCGTGTTTGTGCGTGTGTGTATTTGTGTGCACTTTGTAGCTGGAATAGCTAATGATAATGTGTCCTGCTTGTACTGTAAATAGGCTGAGAAACAAGCTGTGCCGTGGCAAACA